TCTCTTTTCAATTTAGGTAGCATAGAAGCCATCTTGTCTTCTTTCCATTATCAACAGGTAAGGTCTTACACCAGGGTGCTGGTGCTAGTAAGGGGAAATCACCAGCTGCACTTAGAAAAATGGGGTGGCTAGAGAGATGGCTCAGCAGTTAAGAGCACTGGCTGTCCTTGCAGAGGACTCGGGTTTGCGTTCCACCACCTATATGATAAGTAGCAATGGTCTGTAACTCCAGTTCCAAGGGATCTTAATGCCATCTTCTGGCCTCCTCAGGCACTGCATGACAAGGGTGCACTTACATACATGCAGGCATAACACTCATACACATAAAATAAAAGTAAATAAAGTTTTAAAAAATGAGGGAAAGAAGCAAAGCCAGCAATTAGCTGAGGCCAGGATTTACCACCCTCTTTCCAATATGAGCTGTTTGCCCCTGGTTCTTTGCTCAAGGCTTCCTGTCCTGGGTTCCCCCTTGAGAGAGTCACAAGTGCCCTGTGTCAAGGTGTCACTCTTTCTCATTCTTCCCAATGGGTAAGGATCCAGAGCTACACAGAAGACCCTGCACTGCTGGGGGATCATATCCTACTGCCTTTGCCTATCCCACTCGATTTCCCTGGCCTAGCACCTGCACACACACACAGACACACAGACACACAGACAGACAGACACACACACACACACACACACACACATACACACACGCCACCCCCCCCATGCCATTCATATTATCATCCTGCCTCCCAGTAAATTCCTGAGAAACAAATTCATTTGTGTGGGGATAGAGCGTTCACATTAAGATCAGGGGCTTGTCAGAAGGAAGACTTGTCAGAATGGTGTTGACACAAATTTTATGAGTGGGTAGCTTAACATCTTTAAGCTTCATTCTTTTCCTTTGTAAAGTAGAGGCATCAGTTCTTATTTCAGAGAACAGCTGGACTAAAGTATGCACATATACATACATACGTACATATAAAATTTCTCCCAGGCCTGGCTTATAGTAAGCAGTGAATACATGGAAACAACTACTGATGTTTCAATAAAATATCCTCTTCCCACTCAGTAGGCGGGAACTCGTGTGGTAGTGTAAACATAATTAAGTACACATGGCTGGAGAGGTCACAGACTCTAGAGAAGAACTGACTTCTGTCATTTTCCTAGACCAACACAATTTCTTACTCTATTCTAAATACATGTTCTTATATTTCAGACAAATGTACCTCTCACCACTCATCAAAGAAGTCTCTTTTTGCAACAGAGACTATTGCAGAATTCCACAACTGGTCAAATGCAGAGAATAAGTGACTGTGAGGTGCCCAGCCCTAAATGATATGTCTATAATGCAGTGTCTACACCTAAGGCTCAAGGAACGTCGAGAAAGAAGAGGTGGAAAGAATGTAAGAGCCAGAGGGACAAGATACCTGCTGCTAGTTAATGCATTCTGGATAGACATGGCAGGGAAACTACACCAATGAAATGCCCACAGTATGGTAGTCTAACAAGAGCTGCATAATGACAAAACTAGCTGGTGGATGGGGGAAATTTCATGGAGTCCCACCTCAAGATGAAGAGCCACAGTCAATCAATGGATGCTGAGGGAGGGACAATCAGTTTTCTCCAGGGACTAGCTTTCTGAGAGGTTGTCTAATCCCAGGTGGGCAGCCTAAACAGTTACACACAAGTACCACTAAATGGGCTCAGAGCATTGTATAAATATATGTGTATTTAGGGCTGGAGAGATGGCTCAGCGGTTAAGGATACTGGCTGTTCTTGCAGAAGACCCAGGTTCACATCCCAACACCCACATGGCAGCTAACAACTGTCCATAACTCCAGTTCCAGGGGATCTGACAGCCTCTTCTGTCCTCCTCAGGCATTGCACAATACGGTGCACTTACCTACATGCAGGCAATACATGCATACACACAAAATAAAAATAATAAATAAAAATATTTTTAAAATATGTGTATTTATAAATGCATGTATGTATATGTAACAACAATAATCAAGAAGAGGACAAGAACTTGAAAGGGAATGGGGAAATAATAGGAGGAGTTGGAGGGGGACTGGGATGAAATAATACAAATACAATACTCATGTAAGTATGAACTTCTCAAAAATAAAATACATTAAAAAATACTCTTTTCCATCACGTCCTTTTCCTCTGAGTAATGGTTTCTTCTCTACTTGGTAAAGGAATTTACTTTGTAAAGCAAAGCCTTCTATTTTGATGTGCAGAATCCCAAATAGGGAATCTATTAGTAAAATTCCAACTTAGGAAGCATTTTGGTGAACTTGCAAAAGGAAAGTTTGAACAGCAAGCAGTCTAGACGCTAACCCTACTCTGTGCCTAACATGTCAGGCAATTTGGGGTAAACCATTGCTCCCTGAGGGCCATGAGTTCATGAGTTTGTTTTCAGTTGGACTTTTAGGTCCATTTGGGTCTAGCGTGCTCTGATCTATGTGAAATAATGGTTCTGTGAGTGAATTCTTTATTTAGGCTTAGGAACCTTGACTGATTTTTTTTTTTTTCTGAGTCTTCTTGTATAGCTTTATCTTGTCTCATGTTTTTTCACCTGCAGAAGTGATAGCTGAAGGTAGACTGTGGAGCTGGTCATTCAGCACCTCTGCTTTGACCTTCAGCTCATTATTTAATTCCCTTCCACCTCATTCATCAAATGGAGACAAAAGTAGCTGTGAAGATGAAAAGAATAAACAAATGGAGCATCACATGGCAGAGACTAGGTTTTATTGAGCTGTGGGGCATTAACCAGTTTTGTTTCTAACTTAGTAAGCTTATTTCAGAACGTCTTCTCTCATGGATTCTGAATGTTGTTGCAGTCTTATGTATTTCCTCACTGTATTAGTTACTTTTCTGCTGCTTTGCTAAGAAACCATGACCAAGGGAACTTATGAAAGGGAGAGTTTATTTAGCTTACGGTTCCCAAAGGCAAGAGTTTATCATAGCGGGGAGGCATGGCAGCAGAGGTGGTCAGAAGCTAAGCGCTCACATCTTTAAGCAGGCATAGGAAGCAGAGCCGGACTACAGATCCAGCAAGGCATAAGAACTCTCTAAACCTGCCCCAGTGACATGCTTCCTCCAGCATGGCCACCAACTGGGGACAAAATAGTCAAATACTTGGAGCCTTTGGAGGACATTCTCATTCAAACCACCACACTCACTAACTGACTTAATAGACTCTTTGGGGGTTGGAGAGATGGCTCAGCAGTCAAGAACACTGGCTATTCTTGCAGAGCACCTGGGTTCAATTCCCAGCACTCACATAGCAGCTAACAATTATCCATTACTCCAGTTCCAGGGGAATCCAGTGCCCTCTTCTGACTTATACAGGCATTGCATGACATGGGTGCACTTACACATATGTGAGGAATACACTCAGACATAAAATAAAAATAATGAAAATTTAAATAATAGAATCTTTCACATGTATTTCATTCCACGTGTTTCACTCTAGTTTTTGTATGAGAAACATATTGTTCACTTTCTGGAATTATTTTTAACCAATCCTAAATCTTCCATGCAACATGTCTCAATAGATTGCCATCAGCAATGCTTCCTCTGCTAGAAATGCTGATTAAGTTATTGAAAAGACATACAGCGTTTGCATTTTTCTCATTTCTGCAAGGGGACAGCAAACTGTCTAGTCTTCCTAGTTAGCTGAAGCCAGATCCTCAGGGTATGAGAGTGGGGAGAGGAGAAATCCCTTGGAGAATCTCTACTAGAAAAAGAAATCAAGAAGCAAGATGAGCCTAGCAGAAAGAGATACTTTCACTGCGGCCTTTACATTTATGACTAGCAAGATAATGAAGGAAGGTAATTCTGAAAGCTTTATGTCAGTTTTAATGGTCCCTCAAGCACTGAGAAAGATAATAGTCAATGGATGGTGTCCATAAGGATTTTTTCTCCTTCTCCCCTGACAGCCATTGACAGGATCATTTTGTATTTGCAATTGCTGTCACTGAAGCGTGGAGAAAAGGCCCTGTAAGGCCAGAAGGATGAGAGCGAGTTCCCTGCAAGGATCTCTATTGTCATCACTATGGCAATAAAAGTTACGATAATTTTTATTCTGCTTTTCTATGAAGTGTCTACTTTGTGGAGCTTAAGGCTATGGGATTTGGGTAACATAAAATCACAGTAGCATAAACCCATGCTTTGTAATCTTGCAAAAATATTTTATAAAATTGTAAAGAGAATCTATGCAGCAAGATGAAAATAATTACCAATGCAGGTCACTTGACTAATACAATTATTTATGGAATGCTAATAGCTTTCCAGAGGCTTTCAGACATAGTGTAATTTGAGTCACTCCCTCCCCCCACCCCCCATTGCTAGTTTTTCTCCCCAAGGATGAAGCTTATCATGGGGGATGGGGGGATGTGAATTAATTGCAAATGAGCTCTCAGAAGTCCTTTGGTACTTTCTCTTTATGATCCGCAATTAAATCATAAGGACAGGAGTCATGATTTCTATGTCATTAATGCGCCCTCATCTTCTCTCACCGTGCTCTGCCTAGTGTTAAACTTCAGTGTCCCACAGACAGCATCAGGGCCGTCAGACTCTTCCAAAGTATGACCCTGTAGATGACCAAACGCGGGATGAACAAGTCCTAAAAAAAGAGCTGGAGACAAAGAGGAGCGGGAGAAGGGGATGGAAAAGACAAACAAAAAGAAACAAAGCTAGAGGCTGAACTCACTGCAGAGAGGAAAATAAAAGCAGCAGCAAAGGATTGCAAAAGTGAGCGTCCACTGAAGAGAGAGCGAGAGCGAGAGGAGAGCGAGAGAGCGAGGGGGGGAGGGAGGGAGAGAGAGAGAGAGAGACAGAGAGAGACAGAGAGAGAGACAGAGAGAGAGAGACAGAGAGAGAGAGACAGAGAGAGAGAGAGAGAGAGAGAGAGAGAGAGAGAGAGAGAGAGACTACAGCCCCCAGAATTCTTTGCGGCGCCTCGTCCCAAAGCGCCGGTCTCCTAGGCAACGCAGGTAAACAAGATGGCGGCCTCCGAGAGCAGTCCCCAGGGGTGGAGAGTGCCTTCTCTCCAGAGAGGCCCGAGCGTTTCACGCAGTGCAGCGCAGGCGTTCCTGTCGCGCTCAGAACCTGAGCGCCAGTCTCGATGGCCTACTTTTCCCATGGGACAGAGGACCAAAGGGACTTGCAGTACAGCCTCCTCCTACCTGCTGCACCAACTCATCCACCGCCCTGACGATTCAGACGCAGACGTGTACGCAGACTTGGTGGAACCAGAGCCTGCGGAAGCGGATTCCGAGGAGTCCTCAGAATCCGAAATGCTGAACTTGGAGGTGTGCCTTCTTCCCTACCCGCTTGGTCTAGCAGCCCCCCAGCCGCCAGCCCCTGCTGCCTCAGTGGCATCTCCCTGCTGCACCCCGCCCTGGCGCCAGCTCTGCTCAGCTCTTCCCCCAGGACGCTGGGATTCTTTCTTTGCTGCTCGTTTCTGCTACCTTCCTTCTGGTAATTTCTTCACCTCCTGTCTGAAAGAAATCTCCAAATATCTCCCTCCTTTTTTTATGAACATATTTTGTTTCTTATGTGTCGAGCTACAGTGTCTTAATGAAAAAGTACCTATGCATTTGTATGGAGATTATGTGTTTAATATTTTCAAGATTATCCTCGATACAGTTATTACCTCAGTATCCATAAGCAGAGTTTGACTTTGATGATCCCCATCCCTTTTCCGGAAACTGAAGAAGTACTTAAGCACCCTCCTCCATTTGTGAGCCGTTCATCTTCTTCCTTCCCCCAGGGTGAAAATTGCTCTCTTGAAATAATCTAAATGCTCCCCCCGAAGACTAAATGACTTTAAAGTTTTATATATTACTTCTTCTGGGAGCATATGCCTATTTAACCTCTCCCTCTACCCCCTCCTCAGGAAGGGAGCGGTGGAATATTCAAAGAGCCAGCTCACTGTGCGTGCATTTCTGTGGTGGGAATGTTCCAGCCTCGCTCCTTGGGCTGGTGGCTTATGCCTTTCATATTAATAGGAGTTCCCATTTTTCGGCAGTACCTCCAGTTCCATTTCCTTCTGACGCTTACTCTATTCCCGATCCCTTCTTCTCCCATCTTTTTACTCCTTTCCACTTTGCAGCCCATCACTTCTTTCAAAAACAGATTGATTTGTTTCCCTTCCATAAGCCGTTAGGTTTCTCTCTTTGACTATTCAGAATCAGTATTTTACTTAATTTCAATTCTTGTCTTTATATTGTGATTTTTTTCTTCCTTTTCCTTTTCCTTCAAAATATAAATGGCTTCAGGTGCTTTTTCACAAGGGAAGTAGGTTGTCTGTTCCCGTTGTGTATTCTTCTGACTTTCCATTTTACACCCGTGTCTCCTAGTCCCCTTTCTTCCTTGATATCAAACAGGCTTCTCTATGTGATGCCTGTTCCCCACACAAACTCCTTTCCTGGTCTGCCATATTTCCTGTTCTTCCCTCGCTAATCTGTTATTCCAACTCTGCTGTTAAGGACGCTTCCCTCCCCTGGGTTCTCTGTAATGCCCTTTTTTCACTTTAAACGTTTGACCCCTGTTTTTCCCACCCGCGTCCCTCATTTCGCCTTCCCTTTCCACTTTCTGCATGGGCTAGTTACGTTCTAGTTGACGCTGACCATAGACGCGTGTCAGGTGTGCTGGTGTGTGCCTTTGATCCTAGCACTTAGGAAGCAGAGATGAGAGGATTGTCGCAAGTTTGAGGCCAGCTTGATCTGCATAACCAGTTACAGGTTAGCTAGGAACTTTGTAGTCAGGACCACACAGTGAGACCGTGTCTAAAAAAGAAAAGAAAAGAAATTAAAGCAATAACAACAGCAACAACACAACTCAAATTAGGGGAAAAAAAAAAAAAAAGCAAAAACAAAAAAGAAACAAAAGGAAAAAAGAAAGTTATTTTTTCTTTTGTTGATTTATTTTGTCACCTTTAACAGTGACTACCAGGAATTGTAGCAATGTTTTTGCAACTTTAAAATGTTTGTATGGTTTCCACCAGCCTCTAGCCCAGAGGAATTCACAAATGAGCCCCCAGTATACTTTATTATTCTAATTAGCACATGCTCCTTGGCTATGGAGTTCATTAGTACCTTTGTTAATCTGTCTTCAGCACTCCATTAACAAACCATAGAATGGTTTGACTTGAACTATTTATTCCTCTCTGGTTTGGAGGATATGTTGAGAAAAACCGTTATTATTTCTTCCATTTAAATTCTGAATATTAGCATTTATTTTGTGCTCTCAAATTCTACTTTGGCTTTTTGTGGTATCGCTTATGTTTTAATATGCTGAATGACCTGAACAGTTAAAAAGAATTGAGTGTTCATGTTCAGTGATTTATTTTCCATATCTCACCCCTGTTAAGTGTAATACTATTATGGTGGCCATTAGAAATATGAAGTACCTGTAATGCAGTGAGCTTCAAACTTCAAGGCCCTTATGAATGTAAGGGAGGCAGCTCAGATCAGCTGTGTAAAACACTGCTTTTGAATGAAAGGTTTGTAGTTGAGACTTGGTGTAGACTTTTGTTCATTGTGAGCTCTTGAACAAGTTACTTAGCCTGTGTCTTGTCCGTAATGTGGGTTTGATAATCATCCCTATTTCAGAAGAGAATTAAATGAGATCCTAAGTATAATATGGTTAGCATAGGGCTAGCTAGATGGCTCTGTGGATAAAGGTGCCTGCCACTCAGCCTGACGACCTGAGTTCAATTCCCTGGACCCACATAATGGAAGGAAAGAACTGACAACTGAAAGTCCTCCACATGTGTGCCCAGGCATGTGTGAGGCACACAAACACACATATAAATAAATTCAATACAGTTTTAAAAAAATGCTTAGCATAGTATAGTCCTGATACTAAAACAAATAATAACTCACATGTTTCTTATCTGCTGCCGACAGCTCATTAAGTGATTTTAATTAGTCTTTATTGAACAAACATGTATAGGATGTTTGTGTGCAGGCAGCACCTTTGACTATGCCCTGGCTCCAAACCTGCTGCATGAAAACCTCCCTTTGCCAGTAACCTGTTGTGAGTAATCATGCTTACTCATAGGATAGTTAAGAACTTCAAATTTAATAACAGACTGCCTTAAAGTCCTCCATATAGTATTTGGTGGATAGAGTAGGCTTTCAGAAGTTAGAGATGCAATAAATGATAGCAGCAGTTAAGATAGAAGAAGAGGATATGATTGAGAACATCCACAGTCCCTGCTCTCAAAGTGAGGTAAGAGTAAATCGCAGCAGTCAGCGTCTGTAGTTCTGTATACAGAGATGGCTACAGATGTATTTGGGAGTTACAGGGAAGAGCAGAAAACCAGCCGGGGTGGGACCAGATTGTGAAGGGCTCTGTGCTGTGCATGGACACTCCCCTCAGACCTTCCGTTCTCTAATGACCAGAAAGGGTCAGATAGGAAGATAATAAAACAGGGAGAAGGTTCTAGCAATATCTAGAGGAGAGCAGGAAGAGGCTGGACTAAGGCAGTGGTGGTGGGAATGGAAAGGAGGCGAAAGATAAAAACCAGGTAATATGAGATCGTTACTAATTGGTCGAGATCCGAGATGGCAGGCCGCGATGGCAGGACTCTGGGGATATTAAAGTCATTGCAATAGGAGTCAGGGGCAGGTATTGCTATATATTAAGGAAATATGTACAGAAATGACTGGAAATCAAGGAAGGGGGTCTCAGAGCTGGAGACCATTAGCATTGAAGTCTAAGAAATCAGCCAGCAAGAGGGGAAGGGAGGGGGAGGGAGGGGGGAGAAGGAAGGGAGAAGCAGGGAAGAAGAATATAGTGGGGAGGGGGAAGGAAGGGAGGGGAAGGGAAGGGAAGAAGGACCGAGAACAGAACTGTAGGGATAGGGCTATTTTGGTGACAGGCAGATGAAGAATTATCAGAAAAGGAAACCACAGAGGACTGGTCAGAGAGTCAGGGTCAGAAGATCCCATGATAGCTGTATGATAGCAATTAGCTGGCCCAGAAAATCTCCAAAGCACCAAAATGGGTTGTGCTGCCAGTAGGGTAAATGGGGAGAGTCCAAATAGGTCCTTATCCACTTTGCCTATTTGAGCAAGGCATGATATACTGCCTGGTGATGGGAACCTCGAGACAGGAAGGGGCTACTGTGTGGAGCCTTGCCTTAGACGTCTGAGAAAATGCTGACCGTGTGCTCACCTCCCTGTCCACAGCTATGGTGAAAACAGGCCTATTCCCCTAGAGTAAGGATAGACTGTCGTCTCATTTCAAGGAAATAGAATGGTGTGAGATCTGTGAACTTAGGAGCTCTAGGTGGAAAATTTGGAAGGGAAGACAACACTCCCACTCAATTACTTCCTAGGCTTTATGTAGGACATTTAAAAATGTAGCTATTTCCCCTATTTGTGAACAGGTTGGCAGGTGTGCATCACTGGCACATAGTAACTAGCATTTATTGGAAACATTTGATGTGTTCCAGGCACAGTCTCCCCAAAACACTAAAAAGAAGGTATGGGAGAGTTGGACACGGTGGTGCACATCTTTGATCCCAGTACTCAGGAGGCAGAGGCAGAGGCAGAGGCGGATCTCAGTGAGATGGAGGCCAGCCTGGTCTACGTAGTGAGTTCCAGGCCAACTGGGGCTACAGGGAAACTCTGTCTCAAAAAAACCCAAAACAAAATGAAAGGTAGAGGAGAGGAATAATGGCAGATTACCAGGGAAATAAATATAGGTTTGAGTTTGTTGATTTTAAATTTTATATGCACTGGGAACATCATAGGAAAAGATTTTTTTCAACTTTATTACATATATTTATGCATGACTCCACCACACACGTGGAGGTCAGAGGACAACTTGTAGAAATTGGTTCTCTTTTCCATGTGTGTCCTGGGTATTGAACCCAGGTCGTCAGACCTGGAGGCAAGTGCCTTCACCTATGGAACCATGCCAACATCGAAAATATTTTTATTTTTTTAAGTGGATATTCTTCACGCCCTCTCCCCACCCCAAAATATTGAGATTTGAGAGCTTATATACCTTGTTGACAGGGGAAGAGAAGAGCGGATACAGGGCATTTAAGGGAGTATGGTGGTGTTCTTTTCTGAAATATACACAGGCTTATAGAACAGATGGAGATAGGAGAAGCTGTGACAAGGCTTTCTCACTATGGTGTCAGCCTCTCCTCTTTCCTGTAAGAAGGGTCAACCTCCTCCAGTTGATGAAACTCTTGGGGAGGGGATTTATCACAATCGAGTTCCTTTGGAAGGATCTGATTCTCCACAGATAAAAGCATCAGCGAAAACCTCTCCTTGTATTCACTGTTTTTCAAGTGCCTTCGACTCAAAACAATCAATATACCAAAAGCAGCTTTTTTGGGGGCTAAGTATTGCCCAGAACGCCTTTAAAGAAAAACACATTTCTATTTATAGGTGAGGATATGAGGTTCTGGGAAAACTTTAAGCCCCCCAAGATACATGGCAGAGCCAGACTTCAAGCTAAACTGCCCAATTCCAAAGTGCATGCGCCATCCCCACGCAGGCCATCTTCTTGGTTAGTGGACATCTGGGGAGAAACTCTTACAATGGCATGAGCCTACATTCTTACACTTCCAGGACCAGCAACCCAAGCAGCATTGTTGGCTTCTGGTTAATAAAGAAGCCCTAAAGAGAAGCTATTTTTCCACCATAGTTAATAAGATCATAATAGCCCAGAACATTACATCCATGTGGCTGACGTGATGACTGTAGTTTCTGCGTCAATGTGCTGGCCATTACAGAGTTCAAGGCAGTGAACATAGGTAAATAATCTCTTTTGTCAACTGGGGAAATGGCATACCCATCCATAGGATGACTATAGACCAAGGGTCATCCTCCTATGGATGTGATTGCCATCATTTTACAATTTTAAATTAGATGAATCTGGCAAAATTAGCCAATTAGGAGTGGACTGAGGAACTGTTTTGTTCATCAGGAACACCAGATTTAGAGAAACCATTGCCTCCGTTTTCTGTGCCCATCCTTTGAGGTGTGGGCAAGCAGCCCAGTATAGAATCGCCATGGGGTCAGACAGATTTGCATTTTTATTCCCACTGTCACATACTCTGTGTGTTGTTTTGGGGAAGGTAACCTTTACACCTTAGTTTCTTCATCTGTAAAATGGAGATAAGAATAGGTACCTCAGGGCTGTCAGGAGGATTAATGATTGATGGTGGTTCGTGCTTACACATGCCTGGGATGGATGCATTCCATCAGTGGTAGCAACTGCCACTAATACTGATGTTCCAGTGTGTCCACTCAGCTTTGAGTAGTCACTGACAGTAGAACGTGACTTTGATGGATATTTCCTTAACCGTGTATAATAGCATCGTATATGTGTTCTCAACAAGGCATTTTCTCTGGGGGCCGATATGACAAGGTAGATGGTCCCTTTTCTAATGGAAATTCTGTCTTTGTCCCATCCCTTTGCTTTTTTTGCAGGAGGAATTTGATGGGGTCCTGAGAGAGGGGATGGTGGCTGAGGCACTCCATGAATTGGGGCGCTCAGGCCCTGGGACGGAGCAGGTCTACCTCAACCTAAATTTATCAGTGAGTATAACTGGAGAGACCACATGCTATTGCTTTTGTGCTGGCAGCAAACCTCAGTGTTTGATGGAGACTGGTAATGAGAGATATGCATGTAAAGATTAGACTTCAAAGAGCACTGGCCATCCCAGTAATCAGCACCCCAAATTTCTTTGTTTCCATTCTCGCCATAGACTCTTTCATCTTAAGTAGTCTATATTATAGTAATCAATGCTTTCTTTCCAGGAGGTTGAATTTGGTTCTGTGAAACCAATCAAAAACTCTTTAAGAATTTTCTCTCTGATCAGTGAAAGTAACAGTAAAATTTCTATTTGAATCCCAGGGAACCGAGTGTTCTGATATTGACTTTCCTCTTGAAGTATGTCAAGAAATAAGTAGCTTTGAGCTATATTTTACTTTCCCAAAGATACCTATCATTAAAGAAAAAAAAAATCTATTGTTATTCATCAGTTTTCAAGATCTCAATCCTAGTCATTGAGTAGCACAAAAGCTTGGCTCCAATTTTGTCATGAGCAGCTATAAGAGCGACTGCTCATAGTTCAGCTTCCTCTCTCCTGTGGCCCCAGAGTCCTGGAAAAATAATTTAACTCTTTTTTCTTCCTTATATTGTGAAGCATTGCATATTCCTTGGAGATTCACCAAATAAATGTAGATATAGGTAGGCAAAAGCAGGTTGAGGGGCTAGGGAAATGGCTGCCCAGGTAAAGCACTTGCCGTGCAAGTGTGAAGGCCAGAGTTCAGATCCCAGAACATGTGTAACAGCCAAGCAGGTATGGTGGCCTCACCTGTAATCCCAGTGGGAGGCAGAGACAGGGACTCCCTGGAGCACACTGACCAGTCAGACTGACGAAAGGATGGGCTCTGGATTGAGGGAGAGATGCTGACTCAATATATAAAGCGAAGGGCAACTGAGGAGTACCCCAATGCCAACCTCTGACCTCCGCAGGCACATTCATACACATGCACCTGCACATACACATATACCCCCCCCACAAACATGCATGTATAAGAATATATGTTTCCATTGCAAAGCACATTGAAATTTTACTATTGTTTCGTGATTTGGCTCATTCTAGACTTACCTGATTCACTGCAAGATTGTTCTGTCCTTGATTTGAATTAGTAAAATCCTCAAGGAGTGTTGAGGTGTTCACTTGTTCTGGCTTCAAAACATGGCCTTCTAGGCCAACATATTAAGATCAACTCTTCTATTCCTTTTATATTATTATTATTTTTAATTTGAAGCATCTCTTTCAAAATTGGCTGTAAATTTTTAGGTTTACAGTTATTACAGTTATACAATATTGTACTCAGTATAAACCTTATAAGACATAAAATTGATGAGGTTTTAACATTTAAAAAAGATCTCCATTTCATTATTAAAATAAAGATTCATGCAGAAAAATTCATTTTTAATGCAATTGACATTAAGATGTTTGCATGTGCATTTCTAATCTCTATATATCAGATTATTACTAGTCACAATCGGTTACTTTCTGAGCTCCTTGGCATCTGAGCCCAGATATAAAGTCA